CACAGCCCTAGGTGCAAGATTCTTCCACAGTACTGAGCTGTCAGTTGGATTTCTATTAGTTTCACAGGTCTACTGGGATCAGTTCAGTTCATCACTAACTATTCTGAAGCACAAAAATATGTGGGGGGAAAACATGAAAACTGGCTTAGATATTGTGTTTTTATTAGGATGAGCTTTATTTTATGTATATTAGCCTTCCTCTCAATAGCTGTTAGTAAAATCCAAAGATGTGCCTAAGCCCGATCCCGGCATCGCATTGATTGTTCTTTTTATAAATGGACTATTTCATAATTAAAATGGTGATAAAGACGAATAGGCTTGCCACACGTTATTATGCAAAAAAATCTCAAGCAAATTCTAAAACAACAAAACAATAGCTCTAAGAGCAGGTCTGACTCGATTATCGTGTTACTCACTCATGGAAATGGGTCTGATTTCGAGATATTTCTTATCCATCTTCCTCTCAAACCCCCCTCGTGCTCTTTGGAAACTCCAGCGAAGGAAAAGTAGAAGCTGAGTGTGGTACCCGCTCTGATAGATGATGCAGCCCAACCAGTGTGGATGGGAAAAACAACCTCAACTCTAATGGTTATGTTTTCTAATTTTTTCCCCTGCTCTTTGCTGAATGGCTCTCTCTCACACAGCTGTATTGTGCATCTGTATTATTGTGTATTCTCTATGACTGAAAGCTGCAGAAACACTCAGTTAAGCTATACACCTCTATGCTATTTTTGTGCTTTTAATGTGTTTCTGTTTTATTTCTATAAGAATAGCTGGTTAACCAGTATCCAGCTGGGTCGCACTTGTGTTTCCATGTTCTTTGCGCAGCATACTGGGAGCGCTGGATAATTGTTTGAAGCCTTTCTAAATCCACACGAGGGTGTGGTGAATAATGCTGGAAAGTGCAACATTTTGGACAGCTGCAGAGGTGTTCGTACACGAAGCAGATGTCGACAAAGTAAAACCGGATAAAGAAAAAGAGTTGTGCAAGAGTTGTGTTTTTTTTGCACGATCGAAGCTTATTTTCAGTCTTAATGTGTTCGCCAACACATGGGTCACATTAGGTGTGACTGAACAACAGGCTCTTCACAGGAAATCACTTGCTTAACCTCATCAAAGAGGAACAGCTTTAAAAAAAAAAGTTTCAAAGCAAAATACTGAAAGATGTTCAGAGCATCCATCTTTAGTTCAGACTCACTTCTGTGCTCACACCTTCGTTTCTTGCCCTGGGATAACTGGCTGAAAAGTCATAGCAGTAACTTAGAAAGCAGGGTTAGATGTTTACCTGTCCTGCCTCAGCAGATTTCTGTATCCGGCAAGACAGATAAACCATCAGCTGTTTGGTTAGTGGAAGACTTGATATTTTATTTGTAGACTGATGGCAAAAATCTTGTAAGGAATGTAAAAAAAATTCTACTTAGCAACAGGCTCAAACTAACACACACACACATATATATATACAGTGTGAAGGCCACACTGTCCCTCAGTGCTGAAGTAGTTGTAAACAAATTCATGGTCAGATTTCCTTAATCATAGAAAATCTTTTTCTATGCACTGTTTGTCCAATCATGTTTACAGAACAGAATATTTTCTTCTTAACAAAGTGGAACTTTTTGTGTTTCCCTCTAAACTTTCCTTTTGTTTTCTGTTTATATATTGTGGTCCATTTTTATAAAACCTCTAAGACGCCTTAGGGAGGGGTCAGTTTCATTTACAGCTGGATTATCCCAAATGAACAGGAGGGAAGAGCACATGTAAACACTTTTGCCGACCTTTCCCCAATGATCCTCACTCACACTTTGGCTAATGTAACTCTTCTGTTGCCTGCTCATTGCTATGTTTAGCAACGAGAGAGCGCGTAACCAGCTGTAAGGTCAGAGGTCCATTAAGCTTGCAATTTCTTAATTACTCTCTTTGGGAGCCACGGACACCCTGATGTTGTTGATGCAGAGTATAGTGTATAGATGCTTGCATCTTACCAATGATGATAGGTTTCTTAGTTTGATTTTATGTTTGGGAGTAATGATGCTATTTATTCATTACATTGATCATCGTTTTGATTAACTGGGACCTTTCTCTCTCTTTCAGAACTCAATGAATCTTCCTCCAGACAAAGCGCGGCTCTTGCGGCAGTATGACAATGAGAAGAAGTGGGAACTGATCTGTGATCAGGTGAGCATCAGCCACTCATCTAAATGATGTGATCCGATGTAGCTGCTGCATAAGTCACATTTACTTGATTGTAGCTGCTTAATTACTAAATCATTTTAAATGCTGAAAACATCTGGGTAAGGTTCACACAGAATGATGTTATATGTGCTGTCTGGACTGTCAGCTGAGCGTGTAATCTAGGAGAAGGTCCCACCCTACTGTGTGTCGTGACCGCAACACTCATGCTCCATTGCCCTGCCTTTATCCAGTAAGCCTTTTGCCATCTTTACACACCACCCTGGCTTCCTTGGTCAAGTGGGTTAAGTGGCACAGCAGGGAGCGCACATCACTTAGCTAGTTGAAAAAACTTAGCCTCTTATTGGCGTCAGTGCTGCGTGTAGGAAATAACAGAGGGTGCACGTTGTGCAATGAGCTGTGGTCTGAGCGCTCCACTCAGTCCGCAACCTCTGTGCCAGAAGGTTTTTCTGCCTCCTTGAACAGAGGAGAAAAGCAGAGACGAGATCAAGACCACCACCCACCAAAAACTGTATTGATAGTTACTGACCCTGAGAGGAACTGTAACCGAGAGAAACCACCAGACTGCTGACCAGCAGTCAGAGATCTTCATGGGGCTGACTGCAAACTGTCACAGTTGAAGTGAAAATAGTCGCTTTCATTGAAGCTAAACATTGCCCGGTGATTTTTACTGACAGTCTTGGCTTCTCGATGGTCACGCACAGAAGAAGGGAACACGCTCGCCACAGTTCATGTTCATAATAAACGCTTTTATATTGTGAATTTAAAGTTTCTTATCCTTTTTGTGAGGATGGGAACCTTGAGACAGACCGCTTTGGGCTGGAAAACTATGCTGGAAATTTTTCCAGCCAGAAAATCGGTTCTGAAAGGAAACTAATTTTCAGCGCAGGGAAGTTACAGCAATGAATTTGTGTGGTACTGAAATTAGCAAGGAAAAAACCACTGTAAATTTATCCAAATATAGATTTACTATGGTAATGCTTCAATCCTGTGATAACATCTAGTCATATAATTCTCTCTTATGAGAAACGTTACATTTGGAAAACCAAATTTAGAAGCTTAACCTGCTCAGACAATAAAGGTGGACATCAGTCATTTGAAAGTATGCTCCATCTCTTTCCTACACTTTGTTTGGTATTAGGTTGAAGTTGTAGAATGAAATAATGCATCTTCCTCAGTTTTACTGTTGACATCAAAGAATATTGCTAACCCAGTTCTTCCAGTTCTTTATTCATTTTTTGTTTTCAAAATAAACCTATACCCATGACACCGCAGGCAGCTGTGGGACTAAGTTACTTTATGTGTCATAGCTACAGTGAAGCCCTTAATGTAACCATGGCAACAGAGAGAAGCAGAGACGACGGGTACACACCCCCTCTGGAAAACAGCCCTTGCGGATGAAATATTAAACATTTTCTTTCCAGCAATTATGAGGATTTATGAAATATTGATAAATTGTTGAGGTTGTTCTTGAGGTGAACGCAAGGTTAAAACATCCCGAGTACAAAGAGGGAGATCGGCACGATCAACTCTTCCCAATCGAATCCTGTGGTTGTGATCTATTTCTAGCCATCGGAGCGTTGTACAGAGGCGTAGTTCATATAGATGAGTCGCTGTGAGAGTACAACAACTGGTTGGCAACTCTAATTTTAAAAGGTTTCTCAGATATAGAGCAGGAAGTAAAGATCACTGCTCAAACTTAACTTAAACCTGCTATTCTGGACTCTTCATTGCCACATAGCTTGTTGAAACCTGCTTATATTCCTCTACATACCAAACATATTTGCTCACTGTGATTTCACCGGTCTTTCTAAATTCACACTTTTATATTTGTGAGGTATTTACACACCTTACAGGTCTTTGCGCTCGTCATGATTTGCACCGTACCGTTCGCTCGTTATTTTGCAGACTCTCCAGCTCGAGCTTCTAAGCTTTAGAGCTGTCCGCCTGCGTGTTGCTGTCCGCTGAGAGCCGGCTCTTTTTCCTGACGTCTCTCTCGTCTTTCCTGTTTTTATGCGACGGACCCTGTGGCAGTGACAAATATGATGTTGTCGATCCGTTCTCTGTATCTGTGTACGGAGGGTGGACACCTTTCCAGGATGTGATTCATGACAAAGGCGGCACAGCAAATACTGCGCTGATGAAGCTGACAGTTTGAAGTTGTTTGCATAAAAGCATGTGATATGGATGGCTTTTGGTTACCAGTGAGGGAGGTTTGTAAGTATATGTGTTCCAGTAATTCGCACACGTGTACGGCCAACCTGTAACTGTCGCTGACCTTTAACGAGATCAGAATCACTGTATCCTGTTACATTTGTTTGAAGAGATATGGCTGTCCGTTAGAGGAAAGCCACTGGGAGATCAAGTTCTTGTCACTGCCTGCTAAATTCTCGCTCCTCTTTTTGGGGAATCTGACGCTGGACAGTAACTTTCTTTCTTTCTGGTTAAATATTCTTGCTAGTAAGTGAAATGAGCCGCCGATCTATATCACCTCCCGATCTATAAATCTATACAAGATCAGAGCATTCAAAATTAGGAAGAATACTGGAGAAATGTGACCACACTGCATGAAGAACACATTTTCCTTTCTGTGATATGGCCTGCAGTCTCAAACTGATGCAGTGTGCGCTACGATGCGGCACTCAGCCTGATCCAAACGCTCTTTCCTGCTCAACACAGTGATCCAAATCCAGTACTAATCTGCTATATCGTATATATTTAGAGCACAACGGTCTGGCCTCAAAAGTCTTGCTGGTTGAACTTGGGAGACTTCATTCATGTAGCCAGGTGTGGCCACAGTTCTGAGGCAGGCAGCTCTTCATAGCGCGCTGAAATTAATGAAAAGATCATCAGTGAAATTTGTTTTGCATATAAAGGCTGGTTGCTGTTTACTAGCCATGAGTTGTGACTTGTGAGGCTGTGGTGTGTGTGTCTGTGTGTGTGCAGTCATCTGAATGAACAAAGTGGCTCTGTCAAACAAAACTGTGAAACTGTGAATATAACTTCCACTATTGTTACACGAGAACTGTCCAGATGTTTAGCTTCTGCCCTTCTTCCTCTCGTCTTGTTTCCTCCCACCCCTGCTCATTTCAGTATTTTTGTTTTTTGTTCCTTTTTACAGGAGCGATTCCAAGTGAAAAACCCGCCTCACACGTACCTCCAAAAGCTGAGGAGTTATCTAGATCCAGCGGTCACAAGAAAGGTGAGTGGCCTTGCTAAAACATGCTTCCCTGTTCCATTGGCCGTTCCAGTGCTGTGGCTTTTCCTTCCCCTCTGACCCCTCTATCTCTTGTCCAGGATATCCCTACAACTGAGGAAAAATTGTGCATATGAGTTCTGGAGGAGACAACCTGGGAACTAGTTGCAAAACGGGCATCAGACTGACTTAGATAGAAAGGAGACAGTTGTTTATCTGGAACCGCCCGGGTTTGAGAAAACCACTGGCCAATGCTTAGCGGTGCTGTTCTGTGGCTGAGGGCATGCTCTGCACTCACCATGCACTGCCAGAAAGAGCAATGGAGAAATAAAAGTTTGAAACAAGCTACTTGAATGCAGAGCGACGCAGTCACATGAAGCGCTGCACTCACATCACCTTGTAGCATAGCAGGGACTAACTGAGAGTCCCAGCAACATGATAAAGATGGCCTTATGTCATCTGAGCAGCCAGTTCTGGCTGTTTTCCTGGCAGCTTGGAAGGGAGAAGGGAGTAAAAGGAGGAGCTTCGCGAAGACAAGTATCAGCCAGCTCTTAGGGGTTTGCCAAAATGAACTCTTTTTGGCCTGGCTGAGCAAGCTGTGGGGGGAAGGTTGGGAGACCAGCGTCTGTGATATACAAAAAATAACCCGAAGACTCTGCCAGAATAACAACAAATCGCTGAATAATTCAATTTGGATTGACTGGAGTTAAGATGTTAAAGCACAACTGGTTAGCTAGAGCAGCACAAACAAAAGCTGTGATGACTAAGGTAAAAAGAGGAGCAGCAATGTTTTATTGGTGCAAGAAAATACCCCAGACAGCACATTCTCTGTGTGTAGCCAAAATCAGCGTTATTAATGGGTACAGTGAGGAGTGATTCCTAATGGTAAATTATGCAGCTTAGTCAGGAATGAAAGAGTAGCTTCAATGATCTTTAAAGAGAAAGAACATAAAATGAATGCGATAAAAGTTTTCTCTGCACATACTGTGTCTCCTAGTACACCTAAATTGTTGAAATACTGACAGTTCAATAATACGAGGCAATCAAGGCTCTCACAGATTGCCAATTTTAAGAGCATTTTGAATGCTACTTTAATTTACAACCACTGAGGTTAAGACTGACTGGTGATGGTGGCAAAATATATGCTTTTCAATGATAAGTTCAGCAGTTTGACTCCTAGTTCTCGGCCTTGCCAGGCTGGGACTTTGTTTGCTTTTTGGCACAAAGAACTGCATTTGCAGCATGTTAGATGGTGACGATAAAGGCTAATTAGGCTGATCTGATAGGTCGTCTGGAGTATCGACCGCCACTGGGACTGCTACACCTCTCTGACTTTAATGGCTACTGTAATGCCTGAGAGATTGCACTTATAGAAGATCTGATAAAGGCAGGAAGCACGAAGAAAGTGACGGATGTCAAAGGAGACATGATAGACAAAACACTGAAAGGCTGTGTCAGTGGTGGAGGTGCAGGTTTGTTGACAGTTAGTATAAATCTGCCTCGGTAACTGACACCGACTGTGAAACTATAGATGGAGAAGTACTCCTCTTCCCTTCCTTCACACATGCTGCTGAAGTTTTCACACATGAATGCCTAGTATGAGGTAGTTACTGGCTATCACTGTGTTTAATTTTCACATTTCTTATCTTATAAGAGAACCGGAAGAATATTTTCAGGTGTGTAATAAATCTGTTTAGCTGTAGTTGCTGGGAAATGCATAAGCTTGGTTCTGGCCGAAGGTAACAAAATCCACCTACCAGCACTTTTTAAGCTCTCAAATTAACTTTTTTTTAATTCGCCTAAAGCTGAGGTGTCAAAAACAATGTTGTTGATTGAGCTTCAGTGGTGCTAGTAGGTGTAATTGTAAGCAAGGCTGAGCTGTCCACCTCCTGGTTGCAGCTTTAAATTTGGTGTCTCAACTTTCTCCTCCAAATCCCCCGTAAAATTTGACTAAGCAAATTTTCCACAGTGCCATACTTGAAGGAGTTGGTGTTTAAAGCTCCTGCAGTTTAAACACTCAGCACACTCGTTGTTGGTTCAAGTTGCATCCTCCTTCTTTTCTCTTTATCTTAAAGTTTATCTGTGTCTACATGACTAACTGATCTATATTAAACCCCTTTAAATAAAACAAAGCTCTCTTTATTTATTTACCATCATATTTTTACCAATTAGTCTCATAGGCTGAGTGGGCCATGTGGGATTTTGGAAAGTCTTTGCCTGTTCTTTGCCCTGATCGGAAACCTCAAGTGGTCAGGCACAGGGGAATCAAATGAAAACAGAAAGTGAGTCGGGTAATGGCGAGGGAGGGAACAAGAAATAGTGAATAATAGAGCGGGTTAAGGGGGTAGGTGGGGGGGATTTGAAAGAGATGGACAGTGAATGAGAGAGTGAGAGACAAAAAAAAGAAGCACGAGAGAGTGTGGAGGAAAAGAAAGAGTTATGGGCTTCTTTCTACATTCCTGCTCCATCCCCCTTTTCTTCAAGCTCAAACAATTGCCACTTTGTGCCACTGTGAGAGAGCTGGAGGTCATTGCCTCTGCTTTTCCATAGGCAGGCTCCGGTGCATTCCTCGAGGCAGCTCTCAACCAATAGGCAGCCAAGGAGGAAGAGCTGCAGTCCAACTAGTCCCCAAGAATGTATCAGCTATTGATTTGTTTCCAGGATGACCCCTCCTGAGCTCACACTTCCCTAAAAACTCCCTTTTTTTTACCCTCCCTTCTCTATGGTTTCAGTGCTTTCCATGCGTTTGCTTTCCCCTTTCACTTCTCCCTCCGCGTCTCCTCCTTTTTCTCATTTCCCCTCATGTCGTCTTCACCCTCCCTCCCCACTGTCTGCTCCTCTCTCTTCCTGCTCTCTCCGTGTTGCAGCTGGTAGCACTTAAAGTGTGGAGTGCGGGGTGTTTGGTGGGGGCTCCGAGAGCCTGCGCAGTTCTCCCGAAATTTGCTCGGCTTTCCACACAAGCGCGCAAACGACTCCTCCCTAATAAAAACACTCTGTTTCTCATCTCCTCATGTTCCAGACACACGCCGCCTAAGCCCAAAGACACAGGCCTTAGCTATGGGAACAGCTCTTGTGAATGTTAATAATAGGTTAACGTGGGACTGAGCTTCGTTTCCCCCCTGATACAAACGCATCATGGAAAGTGACTAGGCCCTCCAACCCTCGATGGACTTCTCTTCTCTTCTCTTCTCTTCTCTTCTCTTCTCTTCTCTTCTCTTCTCTCTTTTCAACCACAGCTATTGGCCCAAGATGACCATATTAGGGATATCCACTCTCAGTGACATCATATGGAGAACAGCAGAAAAAACTGTATTTGCTTTAGTCTCATGAGGATTGCCTGCACTTCCGCTGACCTCGTTCTTTGAAACACTGGCAATGTTTAGTATATTGTATATATACAGCAGGAAAAACAGGACAGCACTAATGCAGATCTATCTTCTATTTAACTTGAATATAAAACAGCATGAAAAGTCTACAGTAGAATTTACAGTATCCTGCTTTGTCAGGAAAAATACCTAAACGATTACAAGGCTAACTATTAGCATGAATATACCTGAGTGTTATAAGACAAGGGGTTAAAGTGGGATTTGGCTGGTGGGGGTACCGTAATATCCAGTATAGCATTGCAGAGTGGAAAATACGATCATTTAGAAATAAGACATATAAAAAACTGGCTCGTTGAGCTGCACTGGGTTTGTTTTTTCTGCATACAAGATGTGATCAGCTGACCTGCGCAGCTGCTGTGTGCTCTTTGTGGATTTGACTCAATTCAACGATGTAACCAAACATCGGCCATAAACACCCCATTTTGCCCTATAACAGTCCAATACGCTGCATTAGTGCAAAATTCATCACAATACTGGAAACGAACTAGTTTAACCTGCACTAAACTGCAGCTCATGTTCATGCAATGTTTAAATAATACAAAAGTTATATACTTTAAATTGTTTTTTTTAAGTCATTCAACTTAAGTAAGTTCGTCACAAAATGTATCGATCCAATAACTGATTAAAAAAGATATTTAAAGCAACATTTATAATCTACCCAAACTTGAATTGCTTGCTGTGCAGTCCTTATTTTCTTATCTTCCTGTCCTGTCCTTTATTTTTTAAATATCTTTCTCCATCTCTTAGAGCAAATGCTAACATTTTTTCCTCCCTCTAAAACTTTAACTTGCAGACACACGTTTGTGTTTGGTGATATTTCGCGAGCTCTTTGCAACACTTGAAATTGCCTGATTTCAAGCACCGCTCCGATTACGCTCTTCTGAAGTTTTTATTAACAAGACGGCAACGGGATATGAGATGGTGTTTTCACCTTTTGACACACTGTGTTTCAAACTCCAGTGCCAGTGCTCTATTATACAATCAATTTTCTCCCCTCCTCTCCTCCTCGCTCTTCTGATGTAACACTTTTACTCTCCCCCTCTCTCTCCCTCTCTCTGATCAGGGATCCCCCCCCGCCCTCCTGTTGCACTGTGAGGCTGTTTGATCATCACCGGTCACTCACTTCTCTTGTTTTGTTCCTGTGATTGTATAACAGCCTGAAGGGCCTTTTTGTTTTTGGTTTTGCAGAACACCTCCCGTTAGAGGATGAAAGAAAAGAGGAACCCGCTCATCTTCTCTGTTCTCTCGTTTCTCTTTCCCTCACTAGTTAGTTCACAGCTTCATGCGTGCTGTCTTCTGTCTGTAGCCACAGTAACAGGGTTGAGAATGTGTGTGTTGTATGTGTACAATTGTGTTTATGTAGCTGCTGCTGCTCCTGGCCAGGCTTGAGAGGTAGCCAATTAGGTGACTTGATTTTATCATGCTGCTTCCAGGAGGGATTATTGCTATTTACAGAACCAACATGAGCAAACAGAAACAACATAAGTGGATAAAAAAAAAAAAAAAAATCCAACTCATGCACATTCAGTTTCCAGTGACTAAGCCGGCCTTCTTGTTTAGCCTCTTTATTGGTTACTGGCAAATAAAAGCATCATTTAGAAACCTATGGGAATAGCTCCATGTCCTCTTTCATTCTTTTATTTTGTAATCAGTGCACAGGTGGCCTGCTTTTATATCTAAATGTCAATGTGGTTCCTTCTGTCTGTTTGTCTGACCTTTCTGTCAGAAACAAAGCTTTCTCCAGCCAAAATATCTCTGTGCTACCACATGTTGATTTACAGGAGTATGATGAAACTTTACCTCCCCCACTTTCTTTCCTCCTTCAGAAATTCAGACGACGAGTACAGGAGTCCACCCAAGTCCTGAGAGAACTGGAAATTTCGTTACGGACCAATCATATAGGGTGAGTCACCGCAGAAAGTGCGCGAGGCTTGTGTAGCGTTGCATGTCCGCGACCTGCCTATATTAGATTTAAGGGGAAAAGTCTGGCATTCCAGACACCCGGAGACGCAGACACTGACACTAACCACCACCATCCCCCATTCCTATCTGTGCTCTGACCTAATATTACATCGAAAGCCATGTGGCGACGACGAAAAGATGAATCAATTGATTGTTTCGGGCAGCTGACACATGAACAGCGTCTGGAGGGGAAACACATTTCTCTTGCAATAGTTGCTCGCCAGCCTGCGATTCTGAAGACGTATTGATACAGTTGCTAAAGAGATACTGATGTTGTAACAGATAAAACAAGGATGCATTCATCTGCATTTTCTGGTATTCCAGGGTAACAAGCCTCGACTGGCTGCAGCTGTTATTGATTCAGTGCTGTATGTTTAGCCTTGAGGAAAGATCAATATCTCGGTGAGAGTCATACAAGGTCTCAGTGTTTTGTCTTGCTGAAGATCACAGGGCTCGAGTCACTAACTAGAGACCCTGTATAAGGATAACGATGGCTTGCTCGACATTAATGAGTCCCACTGGATTCTGGGACATGTTGGATTCAGGAGACTTCTACTACTACTTAAATAAATGAAGATGGTGCAAACATTTTAGAACATTTAGAAAGAGACATAAAAAAATTACAGTTTAATTTCCCTTTGCTTGTCAGCTAAGCAGAAAATATTCTTTGCTTGGTTAAAAGAATTAAGAGGTTATTACTGCAGTACTAGAGAAACAAATAGCAACCAAAACAAGGGTTAGAGACACTTGTAATTAGGTATAATCATACAAATCCCCTTTGGGGTTGCATCAGGAAAGGCATCTGGTGTAAATCTTGTCAACTCAAACATGCAGCGCTACCTGGTGTGGCGACCCCTTGTGGCAAGGAAGCAGCCGAAAGCAGCTGTCCTTTGAAATGTTCATACTTTAAAGGGAGCGGTACAAGAGCACTGCTTCCTCTTTGAAAATATTAGCATAAAGCGAGTGTAAATGATAGTTGGTTATTGCTGATGGCTTAATTTTTTGAAGAGGAAAAAATGTGTAAAAAATATGCAGAGCTAGAGCGGACCCACTCTTCTGCACAATAGAACACACAGACCTGAATTTGAATGGAGCTCAAAGTTTTTCTTTTAAAGACACAGATTCCCAGCCGCTTTGGTTTCCTATTAAAAACAGAAGTTCACCTGTGGATTGTTTTTTGTGTCTGATTGAATTAGACTGCAGAGAAAATACAAGAATTTCACTCACAAACACTGGAGAGCAGACTTTTTGGATGGTTTGTTAGTATCATTACCTGCACAGCAAGCCGTGTTATCTGTCAGATAATTACATAGTAAAAAGCATCAGCACAATAAACATGTTTGAAAAGTCCATTTTAAAAGAGTAGGCGACCATGTGCTGCAGTGCAGCGACCCGGGGTTTGAATATGTGCCTCGGTCATTTGCTATGTGTTCCCTCCCTTCTCCGAACTGTACTGTCTTCTATCTAATAGTCAAAAATGACTACAAATCTTTAAGATAATAAAGAAAAAAAAAAAGAAAAGTACATTTCCTTGACTCCAGTTTGTTGAGGTGAGGCCTTGCAGTCAGCTTGCAGCACCCGCTCATCACCCAAAAGTGGTATCTAAGTCTCTAATAATGCACTACTTTAAGCCTTAATAAAATTTAAATGGGTTACACCATAAATACACCACCATTTACATGTTATTACATAGTAAAATATGCGATATAGACCAAAACTAGTATTGTGGGCTTCAATGGAGAATGATTCACGGCTGTGCTTAAGACATGTGAATATTTTTAGTATAACCTTGTGGAAAACCTGTGCTGCTTATGAATGAGGCACCTGGATTTACTGTACGAGTAATGAAAGTTAGCAGCTCACAGCAGAATGGTGGGTTGGATGGTCACGGATAACATGGACACCCTGTCGAGGATTGGATGAAGCAACCCTGAGAACATCCGCTGTCCACCGGCTGTTGTAACAGCAACAGTACTCTATATCCTAAACTACATCTCTCAGTCTCTCTGGTTTTCTCTTTTCCTGCCTCCCACACACATATTGTTTTAGTTCAGTGTGTCCATGTCAGCGACACTCACGTAAGTTATCTCATGTGTCTGACAACGCTGTCTCTCACACTCCTACATGCTGTTTACACAATAGTCAAATTCTGCTCTTCAAACCAAAAATACGTTCCAACCACAGCCAGAGACGATGTCCGCCTTCAGAGCTGAAGCTGTGTTTACAAGGATAAAGTTATTTTAGAAACCTTATTGTTGTAACTAGATTACACAAATAGTCTCACTAATCTAGATTAAACAATGAGGCGGTACCATAATAGCAAAAGGACAGGGAAAGGGAGATTGGGAGGGTAGAAGCGACTGATGATGTTGGAACACAGTGTCAGAGGTTAACAGATATTAATTATGCAGGTGTATAATAGACAGATTGTCCTTTTATAAGCACTGCTGATGTGAGCCTGCTTCTGACTTGGTCACCAACATGCAGTGAATGGAGGATTGTTAGTTAGGGTCCTTTGGTAATAATTACTATGAGACCACACCCCCGAGCCTACTTAAACCACCACCGACCCCACTAGGCACTAGTTCACTGGACAATCTTGTTAGTCTTTTTCAGTCCCATGTAGTTACACCACAGGGGAGCTAATAAAGAAGCAGCTAGTGGATTTTTAAAGCAGTTTAGATTTCATCAGCTCTGAAGCCTGCCTGTGTCATTATGTTTATGCCCTACAAATTTATTTAATCGCTGAGCAATCAGCCCCATCGAAGCAGTTGTGGGACCAATAAAACGAAACGGCACCTCCACAAGACGTGATTAAATAAAGATCCTCTGTGATTCAGCTAACAGTGCTTATAAATACGAAAGGAGAGCAGCACATACCAAAGTTGGTGGGAGCTTTCCTGTGAAAAGCTCAGCTTTTCTGTGCAGAATGAAAAACTAGAAAGCAGGCAAAGCGCTGGATGGGTGGCCCACTGTAGTGCCTGTAAGGAAAGCGATAAAGGGCTTTTGATCATTCTTCAGCTTTGTCTTTATCAGTGTGTGTGAGCGATAGAGAAATAAATACATAAAAGATTAATAATGAGTTTCTATTTGCGTGTTTGTGAACACGTTTGTTTCTCTGAGCCAGGAAGCTTTGAAATGGTCAATGCAATTCTTCTCTGCAAAGGAAGGGAGACAGGGTGAATAATCTGAAAACATCTACCGAGGCCAGGTTACAGCCCGGGAAGAATGTTTAGAAAAAACTAATTGCACATAATGTGTTATACATAATGTTCGGGACAAAGATTTGATTTCTAATATGAGGCACAAAGAGATGTTGTTGCAAATGAGTAAAGCCAAAATTAGGCTGAAAAACCCAAATAAATCTATCAGGGAGCAACACCAAAACACTTACAAGATCACAGCTAAAATGCATGATCACAGAATTATTTCCATGGTTAAAAAAAGAACCTTTACAACATCTAACCAAGTCAAGGACATTCTTGGGGACGTAGGCGTATCATTGTCAAGGCCTGCAATCAAGAGACCCATTCATGAATGGAAATATAGTATATAGTTTGTGTTGTAAACCACTGATTATACTCCAGAGGAGGAAGGTCAGATTAGACTTTGCAAAGAAACATCTAAAAAAAGCCTTCAGAGTTCAGAAAAATAATTGTTTGGACAGAAAGAACAAGGTTAACCAACAAGTTTGTATCAGAATGACAGGAAGAGAAAAGTGTGGAGGAGGAGAGAACAGATATCACATCTAATATGGTGGAGGCAGTGTTATGCAATTATGGGCATGTATGGCTGCCAGTGGAACCAGGCCACTAGTGCTTCGTGATGATATGACTGCTGCTAGAAGAAGCAGGATGAACTCTGAAGTGCACAGAACTAAACTCTGCTCAGATTCAGCCAAATGCTGCAAAACAGCTCAGACTTTTTTGTACCAGACAGATTATTTTTCAATGGTCAGTTGGCTGATCTCAACCGAACAGAGCATGCTTTTCCATTACTAAGTACTGAATGCAGAGAGACCCACAGACAAGCATCAACTGAAGGTGACTTCAATTAAGGATCTCAAGGGAGGAAATGCAGAATTTGATGGTGTCCGTGAGTTCTAGACTTCGGGCAAGTTTTTTTTTAAGTATTTATTTGGTACCCGGGTTGGTTTTGGGGGTTTTTTTGCATTTTTTTAAACTATTACATAATCAGTGTGATATATTTTTTCTCATACTGAAACCTGAAAGAATTGCACAAAAATTGTATTTTTTAAGCAATAAATGGAAAAAAATGCCAGATGTAGTAAAATTATACAAATAAAACTCATATATGCAAATTAATATTGTCATAAGGTTCAATAAAATATTTGAATTTTCTGGCAATTATTTAATGGTTCAGGCTTTAAATGGTTAAAAAGTCTTCACATTTATATTAGTCTTTCCCATTAATTTTAAACCTTTGAAAATTGGGTGAATGAAAATGGGTGTAATATTTGTAAAACCCCTTGAATTAAAGCCCAAAGTCTGCACTTCAATCACGTACTGATTCTTTGATTTACAATCCACTGTGTGCAGAGGGACAACTACAAAAATTGTGTTTTTGTGCTAAACCGGCTTAAAATACTGTGTACTCTTAAAAGCAATGTATTACTCTCCCTTTCCATCTTTTTATTTTAGAGTTTAGGCTCACAACTGTCATGTTTCTGAAAAGTCCTGCTTTAACTTGCCTAATTTGTAATTGTCAATTAATTTAACACATTTGAAGTGTTTTTGGTTTAATAGTTTACTCTTCTCTTCAGGTGGGTACGAGAATTCCTAAATGAAGAGAACAAAGGCCTGGATGTGCTGGTGGACTATCTTTCTTTCGCACAGTATGCTGTCACGTAAGTCTCTAGCAGCTCTTTCTCTTTGCACCACAATGGTTTATATGCAGAACTCATAATCAACACAACGATGCTATTCTGCACAACCGCTGATGCATCTCCACACAGCGCCAGCACCACCGTCGCTGCTGCCCGGTTGTCAGAAACACTGAGTCACTCGACGCCCAGTGCTGACACATAGGCACTGTGTGTTATGCTAACCATATGCTTCTATTCATGGATTGACAGTGTGGTTATTAGTCACTCACAGAGTCGCTGTTCAGGGCCAGAGTGCCACACAGTTAAATTTTTAATTCACCACTTCACCATATGTTATTATAGTATGTCGAAATTATGAATGGTTAGCCGTAAAATTGTGTTTACACTGTACCACTGCAGCAGCAAATTAAAGTCAAAGTCTAAGTCTAAAAACTGAAATAGATCATAAAAGGTAGGATTTAACTAGCAGTTTCCATAGTTTGTGCCAACTACAACAAAACATGAGCTTTTTTCTAATATACAGGATCATGTCTAACACAAAACCCTTTAAAACATTTGTTACTTTTTTTAAACATGGAGTTGAACACTTTTTTTTACTTTTAAAAGAATTAGCCTCATATATAATTATAATTAACCCTAATATATAAGATAATAAGGTTGCATATGTTATGTTTGGATATAGGCAGAAGCAGGGTTTGTGGTTTACTAATGGATTCCTCATCTGTTATCGGGTGGTCAGTGTGGCTTTTTAAAAAATCTGCTGGCTAGCCTAGCATCATTCGATTAGCTTAGCAAGAGTCTGGCTAATTATTAGCATTTTTCACTTCCTATTAATGCCACTGCTTCAAAATTTACTGCATGTTTTCCTTGCTGTAGTCCTCAGTGAATTTACACCCATATCTAGAAAAAAAATTGTTTTAGGAAATATGCTCATGACTACATGTACATTGCTCATAACATGATAACAATATGCTAATTCATACACTTTACAGAGCATAATTTTAATGTGCCACTTTTGTGGCACTTTTGTTTAACCATGTAACCATGTATTGATTTGGTTGTAGTAGTAGGAAATAACTACTTCATGCTACAGTCACATCAAGGAAAAAATCGCAGTTTTCAAATGACTGATAGTCACTTGAACCCATCCCGTTTGTGACTGGATGGGTTCAAGCTAACAATTACATAATGTTTGTGATAATGCAGCAATTAGCTGTAATTGCTGAAACTCAGTCACAAATCAGTTGCTGTCTACATGCAGAAAAATTCACATTAAAATTTACATTCAGAGTCCAGCCATAACCTTGTAATTTCGAAGCAAAAATTCCTCCCCAAATGACTTAGCTGCTACAGGATGGTGTTTAACTACAAAATGACACAGGAACAACCAGAATACAACTAGTTGGCAGCCAGTTAAGTTGAGTCATTATTGCTAACAGATGCTTTGCAGAGAAGTGGCACTTATCGGCACAGACTGATTCAGATTGATTGCATTGCATTGGCATTGCAGTCTTATAAATTAGACGACCTGTTGTTCATAGCCTGTAAACAGCATCAGATGTAAAGCAATCCGAGTAAATGCAGATGTTCCTTGTTACAACAGTTTCGATGGCGAGTGCCTGGAGAACAACCCAGAGGCTGCGATGGATAAGTCTAAGCCCTGGAGCCGCTCTATAGAAGACCTCCATGGAGGAAGCACCCTACCATCTCCCATCACTGGGAACGGTATCACCCGAGTCGGGCGACATTCCACGTTACGGTACAGCACACACACGAACTGCCCTCTCTGGCTGACGAAATGACTAGCCAAGGGAATCGTGATTATTTTGAGAACTCACACATTTCATATGATGCCTCAGCCACGTCCTTTGTGTAGTCATGAGGTCTCTAAGTCTTTAAATGGCTTAAGATATGTGCAGGGGGGAAGTACCATTTGCCTGGAGTTTTTGACTGTGATAACCTGTGATTACATGAGTAACAGTAATTTCTGTGACAGATCTTCTTATGGAACTAGGTTTTCGTCAGGTTTTATTGTTTAGGTTTTTATAAACACCAAACAGACCTTTTCACTCAAAATCCAGTGTGTAGAGGATTTCAGGGCAGTTTATTTATAAACCCATGCCAGTATAGGTGCATAAATCCTGTTCATTTGTGCATTATTTCTCTAATCTTGCCCGTCATTCCATTAATGTTTTGGTACAGCACTCCTGCTGACTTCTGTGGCCTCTAATCCTTTAGCCTGAAGAGGTTAACTTGAACACACTGCACACAAAGAGCACTATTGATTCATGGAAGCACATGCCTTTTTAATACGAGATCCTTAAATGATAATCAAGTCAGCCACTTTTTGTTGTTTTTTCTGTTGTGTGGTGTCACAAAGTAGCAGTGTTTTCTTGATAAATATGTAAATAGATGTAATGGAAGAAATGCAGACCAGACAAACTGACTTGGTGTTTTGGCTTTTGCACATTTTTCACCAGGAATTTAGATGCTAATTTGCTAAATGTGGAAGTTGTAGACAGAATACATGATGAGGTCTCGTTTTATTGTTACTTGCACATATTTCATCCATGCTTTACTGATATTTAAATGACTGTCAAATATCAATATTGTCCCATAAATAACTTCACCCTCCCATGCCATGTCACCTCACCTACACATCTGCTGGCCCCAGATGTGACATCACTCTTGAGCACGCATCTTCAGTGAGGCTGACTGTCTTTTCTGTTCTGTCCTAATGCCCCCCCCACTCTCCTATAGTCATCTGCTCTTTTGTCTGCCAGTCTTCGACAGCAGGCAGGTCTCAGTTTCGCTCTGCTGGCTCAGAGTGAGCTTTCTTCGGCTGTAACCCCAGCATCCCCGTCCCTTCTAGAGAAACAAACGCACTTATAATGCTGCGAGCAGAGACACACATGGACGTCCACGCACAATCCCCCGGCCTCATTGTACTTTATACCTCCCTGCTAGAGCTGCCCAGTTTATTTGTCCCGCTGCCTGTGTCGGGGATGTGAATTATTTGTACTGCTTGCCCACCCCCCCCTGCGCTTGTGACTAAATTCTCCTTTCCTTGGAGCAAATGGGTTTTACTGCACTCATTGTTCCTGCCTGTGTGTCTGTGTGCTGCTTGTGTGGCTCCCTAAATGCCATTCTGTGCAGACGTTAGCCTAGTTTCTACAACAACCATTAAAAGCTCAGCACTAGGCTACAACCAGTATGAGTAGAATAAGTAGCTTCTAACAAGCTTCTGTATTTTGGTTGCTTTTTTCTGTTTTCTATTTTTTTTTTAATGGCAAATGAATTATGAATCTTTTGTTTGGGCCTAAGTGGTTTTATAATTCCTAATATCGATTTTGTCCATTATACAGATTATTTTCCCTTATGCTTTTTAGACTGGCTTTGAAGTAGAATATAAATACCGAGAAACTGTTAGATCCCACATTAAGTCTTATCTATATGTCTTCTTGAAACTGCCAACTTGAAGGACACCGAGTGCACTGAGCTGTCCAAAGTGTTCTCAATTAAGACGGTATGTCTGAAGCGTTAGCTAGTCACATGTAGCCGTGTTAGAGCTGTTATTGATAGCTTGTAAATAGAGTTGTAGTGATTGATGTTCTGTTATTTAAATTACATTTAGGTTTTTTTTGGTGTTACATTTGCTTCACTCTTTATCTCCTTTTCCTTCTTCCCATTCTTCTGCTTTTTCTTGTTCTTCTACCTCTGCTTCATCTACTTCTTTGTTCTTCTTCTCCTCTATTTTTTGCTTCTTCTCATTCTTTGTCTCGTCTTTCTTCTCCCTTTCCCCCTCCTTCTTCATCTTCTTTCTTGTTCCTTCATGTTTTCCTCCTTGATCGCCATACTCGTATTCTTCTTCTTCCTCCTTGTTCTTCTCCTCCTCCGTCTTCTTCTGTTTCTTCTGTATCTCTTCTACCTTCTTTTCATTATTGTCCTACCTTCCTATTTTTCTTTCCTTGTCTCCCTTCTTCTTTGTGCTTTTTCTCTCAAACTTCTCCTTCATGTTGTTGGTGTTACATAATAATGTATCTATTCACTGGTTTGAGATTAGAAAGCACTGATTAGTCATTTCCTGGATGTTGCCTAATCAGGAGTGGAAAAAACCCTGGATGGAGGATTATCTCTGCAGTTTGAAGCAGGTGCTTCTGTTCTGTCAGGAAAAGCCTTGTTTATCTACTTCATTTGTTTATTTATTTATTTTAATGCTGCACTTTACTTAATACTCACATAGCAAATGTGGATACTTGTGTAAGCAGGAAAAAAATCATGCCTCAAATTCATTTTCTAGCTCATTTTACTGCTAATTTAGAGCTGTCTTCATCCTCAAACCGCTGCCTCTCCCTTGAAAGCTTCGTTCCTTTTCAGACAAACACACATGCACACTCACGCACTGTGTTTTGACTCACAGAGAAGTCACGCCTACAGGCACGGGTGATGACACGAATTGGCATGTCTGTCAGTAGCCCGAAGACACATTTTTCCCAGAACTTGGGTTTGGTAATTGTACCTCGTGATAAAAGTCTGAAAATGAACTCCTTTTCTCCGACTCTTTTTGCATATTATTCAGTTAGACTGCTGCTCCAGCATTTCTGTTTTAGTGTGGGAGCTGCACCAGGAGCAGAGGCCTTGTTTTTGTCTAGATAAAGCTGCACAATCACTGTGCTGCATGCAAATGACTGGCTGCTGTGGTGTTAGCTGTAAGTGATATCTCCGTGAAGGTCTGTTGAAACAATTGAAAGAAGGCATCCGGTGGCCCTGTGCTCAGTTGTAGATTTTATGGCCTTTGTGTGTGTTAATATAAGGTGCCCTGGCAGTTTAACAGCCTCATTATGTGCAGAAGATGGTGTGCAATGAGGGCTTGTTTACAAATGGCATCTGTTATCTTGTTTATCCAGTTCTTGTGAACTCTTTTGTTCAGTCACATAGGGTTAACATTTTATTCCATAGCTTTATTCCCTTTAATACTGACTTCTGATCTTTATTTATTAGTTTCAACACATTGCCCAGCCGGAGAACGCTGAAAAACTCCAGACTGGTCTGCAAAAAAGATGATGTCCACGTCTGCATCATGTGCCTGCGTGCTATCATGAACTACCAGGTCAGCCCCCAAGGCCTCTACAGGGACCATCCAGTCCACACAGACTGCACGTCTCTCTGAGCTGAGCCACATTTTGTTAAGCTAAATTCAATTTTCTAACTTGTTTTTATTATTCCGAGTCCCATCTTGCTTATTCTGTGTCTCATCTTCTCTGTTAATGAACTGCTTTGTCTCTGTCTTTCATCTTCCAGTATGGCTTCAACATGGTCATGTCACACCCGCATGCTGTGAATGAAATTGCACTAAGCCTCAACAACAAAAACCCGAGGTAAGTTCAACCAAAGGTTGAAAAACAAAAACAAAAAAGGAACCAAAAATGAAAAGGTACGTAAATAAAGAACAAAATCTCAAGTTTCTTTTTTCAAATAAAAAAAGAGCTGCTGGATAAAAGATTCAATAAGATGGGTTTTATGTTTTACCAACTTGGACCCACATCCATAAAAGCACAAACGCTAGATTTTGTGCACCTGCACAGTCTGAGAGTGGGAGCCCTTGTTGCTCAGGGGGACATTCATCTTGACAGACGGGTCAAGGCACCGCTGGCACAGTCCACCACACTGGCAGCTGCTCACTGAGACGGCTACGAGGAGCACTCTGTGTGTGTGTGTGTGTGTGTGTGTTCGTGTTTTCACTTCATGCCCCAGGGTTTAAGGATTTTCTCAAAAGTGGATGTGGAACCACTTCGCATCACCTGTCACATTTCGTCTCATCCAGACATAGAAATCCCGCGTGAATGAACTGGAGACGGGATGAGCTGGCACTTTCAGTGTCTGTGCACTTTAATAAACTCACATGAATCAGGCCAAGAAGTATTCATTTTTTTATACCTGCCCTTTAACCCCCCTTTAACTCTGGGCTTTTGACTCTTAAGAGGTTAAACCAATGAATACACAATGAAAATTTGTTTTGCTGTGACAGTGGTTGCTGTTTATGATCTGTCCTATGCAGACGTTTCAGTAGCGAGATGATCCGAAATTACACAGTTTTCCGCTTTGTTTCCTCTGCGATTATCTCCTGCTTTTCTGTTCATTCATTAATTATTCCTGACATCATTTTCTCCCTGTTTTTCAGAACCAAAGCTCTGGTCTTGGAGCTCCTGGCGGCGGTTTGCCTCGTGAGAGGAGGCCACGAAATTATTCTCTCTGCGTTCGACAACTTTAAGGAGGTACGAGCTGCAAAGATGGTTCGGAGGAGACGAATATGTCATTCCATTTTGCTTCAAACAGTGACTCAGCCCTGGAGGAATGCTCGTCTGGCAGTTGTGAGGCCGGCATATTCCTCGTTGCTTCAAAGGGATAGCGTCTAGGAATTAATTCTGTTAGTCAACAGATTACAGACACCAGTTTAGCTGCGTCGCATAGGACGACCCACACAGCCGCAAGTGATAACAGTTATATGCGTGTTAACTGGATTTGGCAGTAGCTTCAAAGCTCAGAAAAGCAGTGAGTTAGTTGTAACAGATAGCCCTGCCTGACCTCTGCCTGCCTGGATGAGGAATTCTGGCTTCTGGAGAAAGAAGTGGGAGGTTTGTGATGGAGAGAGCGCTAACAGCAGCCCCATTTTGTAGCATACGGCCCACAAACATGGGCTGACTGCAGTTAATGTAATATTTACACTCCCTGAATGAAATATTGAGCGTTGCTCTCAGCGGCATTGGCATTAATGGGAGATTAAGGCATAGAGAGAACATTGCCCGTCTAATGAGACGAAGTTTGAGAAAGCATTTGGATAATGTGAGTGCAGGAAGCACGGCGGCATGTTTTTCTATTCTGGTGGAGGCAGGGTTTAGTTGTTCTTTTCTTTTTTTTCCTTTTAGATGAAAAGTGACACTGTCGACCATAATGTGAGATCTATTTTTCTGAGTAACTTAGATATGTTGCTGAATGATGGGGGCTGCAGGCTAAAGCTCATTGCATTGCATCCCTCTTTTTTTTCCTTCTTCCCTTCCTTCTCAACATTTCTTTAACATCCTCTGTCTGCCTTATTGACATCCACATGAACTCCCTGAACTGCACAGCATCTCTCTACTCCCTCTTTTTTATCTCCCAAATTCCACTCTAAACACGCTTTTACATACTGCGAGTAACATTGAAAACAGATGCACGGTGCAAACTGTAGCTGAAATAAAATAAAAGAATGATCCTGCAGCAGTTCATAAAAACGTATCTTATTAATTATCGCTTTGATAACAGCTTTCTCTGAGATCATAGGAAGCTGTAAAGTATTTCGCAGCTTACATCAGTAGTTTTTTAAAGGTTTTTACCACATATTGACACATGATGAGGTGCAATTCCTGGCTAAATCCCTGGCTTTGTTTCTCCAGCTGGTCTGAAACACATGAAGTAAATCAATGTGTGGTTTTCTTTGCAGGTGTGTATGGAGGAGCAGCGATTCGAGAAGCTAATGGAGTACTTCAAGAATGAGGACAACAACATTGACTTCATGGTCAGCCCACGCACAGTTGTGATGACTGTTAATTGTGCTGCAATCCCCGAAAACCCTTTCTGTGAAGCCGAATGATTTTTTTAGTGTCAAAAGTTCAGAGAAAATGATGTGAACTGTAATGTGTGGGCAGAAGAGGTTAGAAACAGGTCCTCATATACCTGTCTAAACCCCAATCGAACTTAAATGGTAAACATACTTGTACCTAAATGAGCTCTTTATACAACTGTTTTCTATGTCCGATTCTTTTCTTTTTAGCATTCACACACACATTCGCACTCAGTGAACACATCGAGAGCAGCTCAGTGTCTGGTATCTTCCTCAAGATTACTTTGACATGCAGACTGGGGCAGCCAGGAATTAAACCACCAACCTTTCGATTGGTAGATGACCTGCCCTGCCTCTACCAGGAGGTAGAGCAGGAGTTCAGTGTAAAAAATTAATAAACTGTTCCTCCAGTTTTGTGATATGCAGTACTATCAGTTTCTGTGCAAGGTCACTGCATAAGCTACAGATGTGTGTTGCAGTGGATCAAACCTGAGGATCCCTAAGCAAAGACTTCTGTTTTTCCAAGGCTCAGCAGTGTTAATTAATCTGACAGAAAAGACTTAAGAACATCGATGGACATGCCACCTTATGCTTGATTTTATACGTCACACCTCTTTGAATCCATTCTAATTAATCTGAGTGAAAACCAACAGAGGCTGTGCTTGAATAGTGCTTCACTTTGAACAAGTTTCCCTTGCAGTCCTCCCGATAGGCAGTCGTCACCTGACAGCAGCTCTGAAGCGAACAGACTGCTTTCTCACACTGGGGCAGCTGAGCTTGTTGTAGGATGTTCATGAAGCCCATTTTAGCGTTGGGAAGCGCGCGTGTGTGCATTAGAAACTGTGAGTAGATCCCCCTTGATCTGTTTATGCAAGCTCCCATAAAGCAGGCAGTAGTGTTAAACTGGCAGATTTTGTTCACCTGTTTTTTCAGATCCTTTTAATCTGCCAGATAAGCTACCCTGCCAGCTAAGCGAGCAAAATAATAAGGATTTATATACCCGAGACATAATAAAAGGCAACATATATTATATATGAGCATAAAAACCAAATTGTGGAAGTAGCAAACTGGTGTATAAAAACAAACTTGTTGCACACTGATCTATAAACGTGTTTTACAGTCCTATAAACAGTGTAATATAGAAAATGTATATGCAGTGAACTCTCTCTTCCCCTAACCGTTCCTACCTGCCATTCCCCAGGTGGCGTGCATGCAGTTCATCAACATCGTCGTGCACTCAGTGGAGGACATGAACTTCAGGGTTCATCTACAGTACGACTTCACCAAGCTGTGTTTGGACGACTACTTAGATGTGAGTTGAGACATAATGCTGCAGGAAAATGGCTAGACAGACATTCTTCTGAACACTCACAGTCCAGAGGATAGGCTGTCATTACAGTGCCCCTGAGACAGCAACCACAGTCAATAATGGCTTTTCCATTACTTCAGAAACAGTGGTCAGCTTTGTAGTTCTTTGTCTCCTGACTTTCTGCAGAAAGATCGATGTTATCCCAATGCTGTGAGCTGCAATCAAACTACAGCTCCTCTTCCCTAACTTGTTGTATCTGCTCTGCAGAAACTAAAGCACACAGAGAGTGATAAGCTGCAGGTCCAGATCCAGGCTTACTTGGATAATGTGTTTGACGTGGGAGCGCTGCTGGAGGATGCGGAGACCAAAAATGCTGCCTTGGAGCGGGTGGAGGAGCTGGAGGAGAACATATCACATGTGAGAACCCTCTAGTGTTGGTTGTACTCTTTGACTTGAGGCGAAGTTGCCGTTTTGATCTTATTTCTCTTGCAGCAGTCTGAATATTAACAATAGGAAGTTGATGGAATAGCAACTTGATATGGTGCAAAGGGTTTTCTTTTTGAAAGATGCAGAACTTTTAGGCCCTGACAGATCATTTTTAATCCAGATACATGAAAATATGAAACCCTCGTAGTGCCTCAGTATATTTCTGTGCTACCATGTTGATTCGAATGGTGTCTCTTCAGTTAGTTCACATCACTCTGCAATCTTTTCTCCCTGATACTGTTCCCATAGATGACAGAGAAGCTGCAGGACATGGAGAATGAGGCCATGGCCAAAATTGTAGAGCTGGAGAAGCAGCTGATGCAAAGGAACAAGGAGCTGGAATCCATCAGGGTCAGACCCGCTTTCTCTACCTTGACATCAGTTCTTCAACTTGGTGATAGCTAGTTAAGCCAATGGTAGAAAAAAATGTAAAATATTGCCACACGTATTTTTCTGTTCTTCTCATTTGTTCCTTTTTTCTGTTTCCCTGTACCACACAGGAAGTCTATAAAGATGCCAGCTCGCAGGTGCACTCGCTGCGACAGATGTTGAAGGAGAAGGACGAGGCCATCCAGCGACAAAGTAAACTCGAGAAGAAGATCCACGAGCTGGAGAAGCAGGGCACCATCAAGATCCACAAGAAAGGAGACGGAGACATCTCAATCCTAACGTCGCCGCCCTCTGCTACGGAGGGCTCGCCGGGCGCCGTGATCGGCGGAAACGGTGTAGCTGTCAGTCCAAACCATGTTGCACTTATGGCGGGCACACCTGTTCCACCTCCACCGCCTCCTCCGCCCCCGCCGCTTCCGATGAACGGCACACGTAAGTTTAATATTAGCTCAGAATTATTAGCTGGAGAAAACCGAGGCGATAACAGCGGGTCAGCCTGAACTGTTTTTCTTACCCCTCTCCCAGTGTCAAACGGACCAACGTCAACAATTCCAGCAGCAGCTCCCCCGCCTCCGCCACCACCCCCTCCGCCTCCCCCGCCACCCCCAGGAATGCCTACAGAGACGTCAGCCCCTCTCCCTCCTCCGCCTCCTCCAGTGGCCCCCCCACTGCCCGGCTGTGGGACTCCCACCGTTATCATGAACTCTGGGTTAGCAGGTAAGGTCATCAAATCAACGGAGTCAATGTTCTTTAATGCACTGTGAAAACGTGTAGAATAGGGATTATGCACAATTTGTTCATATAGGATAATACGAGAGGTGATGTTTATGTGGCTCTGCTTTAGCACTGCTTTTGATTTGCTTTAGTACAGGTTTGCTACACAAACTTCTAGAATATTACATAACAGCGGCTAATGTACTCAGCTGCTTCTAGTTTACCTTGAGGCTATCTGATACATGTTGCCGCTGCTTCACAGTAAAGACCTTGTGTTCAGTGTTCACTCTCATACAGACTCAAACAAGCTAGCTTCAATTCACAGTTCACGGTTTGCAATCCTCTGCAACCTCTACTCGCCTTGCAGTGTCGGCGCAGGAGTCTCAGGGTGTCACTGCGGCTTAATTGCTAATTAATGGGTGAGGGAGTTTGGGTAAAGGCGAGCCTGAGGTTGGCTTTTGAGACGACACCACTTCTTGCCTTCGTGCTTTCTGGGAGATAAGTCTTTGTAGCTGAGATTATTAAGACTTTTTTAAAAATAAAACCAAGGTTTCGTCAAACTAGGCTTGACTCAGGTTGTGACATTAAAGTTTTGAGCTTTAGATTTAGCTAAAAATCAGCTGGTTCATTTTTTTCTTTTTTGTTTAATGAGCTGCTCTGAGCTACTTTTTAATCAAAACCTCCCCCTGCGATTCATAAAGTGCACAGAAATCACTGCATATGGAGTCGTATGGTGATTACTTTAAATGCAAAGAAAAACCACAGCAAGTTTGAACAATTTAGCAAGTGGGAAAACTTTGGTTGCTTAAAGATGTATTTTAGCCCTAAAGGAACTTTTGCCTCTTACTTTGTGCCAGTTTTTTAACATTTTTTATTACCAGTCACTTACAAGTGTTTCCTAGGACTGGCTGAATTCTTCAGCTCCGTATGATCTTAACAATCCTGTTACCGATGTGTCTCCTTTGCATTAAATTGTGGGGTTTGTACTGATTCTCCTGTAAAACCCCTTTTCTTAATAAGTATTACTTTCAGCAGTGTCACTCTTACATTGTGGTCAAGAGTTATGTCAGGAACAGGATCTGGCGTAAGACTAAACACGCCAAATCGTCTGCTGTGGTGACCTCTTGGGAGATAAACAAGCAGCTGAAAGGACCATCTAACTCCAGAGATACTGCTGGGAGGCTTTTTACTGTAGAGCTGCTGCCAGTTTGTGATGTACCGAGTTAGCCAATAGCCACTGATTGGCCTCATTTTAGTTGGTGGGCTCAAACAGAATATTAAAAAATGGCAATCAGATAAATAGAAAGACAGGAACATATATATTATATATTTGTTTTCCCACACCACAATACACGTTCAGACTTATTTTACTAGGATTGCTCTGCTCAGTGGATTAGTATTGATAAGTGACCCTTTTGTGACTTGATGACTAAGTTCCGTCACTAATCAGCTCTTACTGTATGTAGATGGGGGTAAATATTTCCCCCTTGGAGAGCAGTTTCTATATTGTACTGTGTGATTTGAGATGTGCATTAATTCTCACTAACCCTCCTTTTTATTTGTCTTATAATTGTTTCCTTTTTTTGCCGACCAGAGGGACCCATCAAACTCTTCTGTAGGTTATGCTTGTCGTGTTTGCTGTTTTGTCCCCACCCCTCCCCTCTAGTGTCCCACATTTCACTTCCCCAGTTAAAAACACAAACCTGTTTGCTGTATTCATGCCGTATTTCCACGTTTCTCCAACACTTTGTCTTCTTTCACCATTTTCATTAACGTGTGCTTGCCAACATGCTATATAAAGCAACACATCCCCAAACTAGTTTTCCCTTGAAAAACACAGCAATCTCTACATTTCTGTAGTATTACTCCAGTGTTTGTTTAAGTGTTTATTTGAATGAAATCTGGCAACATCAGAAAGAGTTGAGTGCATGCTGAGGCACAGTGACCTGCTGTGGCATGCAGATGATTAAAGCGATAGGCGCCGTGCATACTGGAATGCTGTTTACCTTTCCCATGACAGCCTTATCTTATTTGTCCCTGCTGACACCTTGTCCGTGTGGGGAATCAGGGCACCATGTCAATGTTCAGCTTCAATGAAGCAGCAGTGGTGGCTACAAATAGCTATAATCTGTCCAATAAATAGTTTGTCATCAGGCTTACCGCATACACTGTTTACTTAACAGGTACAGAAAGCTAAGAAGCTTTGCTCTATTTGGGGAAAAAATACATACAAGGCAGCGTAGTTTCTGTTTTATTTTGAAGGGTTTACAGAAAGCATTTAGTTAATGTAAATAACACAAAGTGGGACTTTGTTTTTAGAGATTAGACAGATATGGCATCTAGCTACCCAGAGAGTCATATCCATGTGTGTTACCAGTTCCAGGTACTTGTCTACCCTTTCACCTGCATGCTTATGTGAACTGTTGATTGTAGATAGACACCCTGTGCTAACTTGTCTGTATTCTGTTTAAGCTGTTAAGATCAAGAAACCCATAAAGACCAAGTTCCGTATGCCTGTCTTCAACTGGGTGGCCCTGAAACCAAACCAGATCAACGGGACTGTTTTCAATGAGATTGATGATGAGAGGATACTGGAGGTAAAGCTCTCTGCTGATTCAGAGGTTACGCATCCGTTTCCTGCCTATATCCCAGGAAAATGAATCATGAATTGACTGCTGTTGCTTTTTAGGACCTGAATGTTGATGAGTTCGAGGAGATGTTTAAGACGAAAGCCCAGGGCCCGCCCATTGACCTCACTGCAAGCAAGCAGAAGGTCATCCAGAAGGGACCCAACAAGGTGGCTTTGCTGGACTCCAACAGGGCAAAGAACCTGGCCATCACGCTGAGGAAAGTGGGCAAGACACCCGAGGAGATCTGCAAAGCCATTCAACTGTAAGCCTTCAACTGGTGTTCCTGCATGCAGTCTGTTTTCCTCAACTCACATGGCTGTATGCCTGTTTTTCTTATAAAATAGACTAATGGTTCATAACACGTGTCCTTGTGACTCCTCATCGTCCAGGTTTGATTTACGGACTCTGCCGGTGGACTTTGTGGAGTGTCTAATGCGCTTCCAGCCCACGGAGAACGAGATTAAAGTCCTGCGACAGTTCGAGAAGGAGCGCAAGCCTCTCGAAAGCTTGACGGATGAGGACCGCTTCATGATGCAGTTCAGTAAGATCGAGAGGCTCATGCAGAAGATGACCATCATGGCCTTCATCGGCAACTTCGCCGAAAGCGTGCAGATGCTTACACCGGTGAATAACGACGCTACGTTGTCATTCTTAATGTTTTTATGCTGCAAGCTTAGAAAGCAACAGCGCTGTGCTGGATTTGATGTCTCATTCTCACCCACAGCAACTGCATGCAGTCATTGCAGCATCTGTGTCCATCAAGTCATCACAGAAACTGAAGAAGATTTTAGAGGTAACAGAACATTTGCGTCCCTTATGACGCATCGTGTCAAATGCATGCGTGATTTCCTTTTTCATTCTTGTTTGCTCCTGTCCTGCAGATTATCTTAGCTCTTGGAAACTACATGAACAGCAGCAAAAGAGGAGCGGTGTATGGGTTCAAGCTGCAGAGTTTAGACTTGGTAAGTTGGATTTTGTTACCTTTTAGCAAAACTTTAAAGACTTTTAGAAAATGTTTCAACATGTCTGTTTTTTCTTTCTTTGCAGCTACTTGATACCAAGTCTACAGACCGGAAACAAACATTATTACACTACATAGCCAATGTGGTTAAAGAGAAATACACACAAGTTTCCCTTTTCTACAATGAGATGCACTATGTGGAGAAAGCTGCAGCAGGTGAGTCGTACAGTGAAGTTAAGTTGGGCGGAAGTGAACAGCACATAATCTGACTGCGTCTGTCAGTGAGAGACAGAGACAGAATTTTATCATGTTTCTCTTGGAATAAACTCCAGAGTTTAATTGTGTATTTCTTTCTCTAGCCGGCGGTGCAATTTATCCATCTAGATTATTGCAGTGTGAGTTGCCAACCTGTGCAGATGTGAGTTGTAGTCTGTTTTAGGGTGAAAGGCACCATGCATAGGTCAGCTGTCTATGATAGGGTGATTCACACATATGGACAATTTAGAATAGAGACAAGTGTAACAGGAGTAAAGGTAGTGAAGGTACATGAGTTTAAATATCTGGGGTCCACCATGTAAAGTAACAGACAGTGCACGCGAGAGGTGAAGAAGGGTGCAGGCAGGGTGGAGCAGGTGGAAACGAGTGTCAGATGGATGGCAGGATGAGTGAAAGGAGCGGTTTACAAGATGGTAGTGAGACCCGCTGTTATGTACGGTTTAGAGATGGTGGCACTGACATAAGCAGAGCGCAAGATGTTAAGATTTTCAGTGGGAGCGACCACCAGGATGGATGAGATTAAAAATGAGTACGGGACAGGGCTGAGATGGTTTGGACATGTGCAGAGGAGGGAGAGTGGATATAAAGTACAAACCATGTTGAATATGGAGCTACCAGGCAGGAGGGAAAGGGGAAGATCGCAGAGCAGATTCATGGATGTAGTGAAGGAGGGACATGCAGAGGGTTAGTGTGACAGTGGAGGATGGGAGGATTAGGGTGAGATGATCCACTGTGGCGACCGCTAAAGGGAGCAGTTGGAAGAAGAAGTTAATCTACTCCATGCATGTATCTGACTGTGAGAGTAAGGGAATAGAAATGTAGAAAGCTAGACAACTCATGCCACAACAATCTAGATGCTCAAACTGCACTACAGCGCACAGGAGAACAATGTGATTTTGATCCAGAAGATGCGACACACTTTACATGTACAGGTTTGTGTCATGTAAGCTAAACTTCTCTGTGTTCACAGTGTCGCTGGAGAACGTCCTGCTGGATGTTAAGGAGCTTCAGAGAGGCATGGAGCTGACCAAAAGAGAATACAGCATGCATGGCCACAACACCATGCTCAAAGAGTTCATTGCACACAATGAGAGCAAGCTAAAGAAGCTGCAGGATGATGCCAAGATCGCACAGGTAAAAGGGTGATTCGTGGCTCGCTGTCAGACACTGGGGCATGTATTTGCATGCAAACGTGATTGGTCCACATACAGTGCAGGCAATGAGTCTGTGTTACTTCATTTGACAGATATCTGTGCCTTTTGCTCTTGTTTTTGCTTTTTTTAAGGATGCTTTTGATGAGGTGGTGAAATTCTTCGGCGAGAACGCCAAAACCACACCGCCATCAGTCTTCTTCCCTGTGTTTGTGCGATTTGTTAAGGCCTACAGGGTGAGTTGGATATTAGCCTCACACATTGGACAGAAACAGACAAAACACACGCTTCTCTCCATGATAAATAGTAGTCTTCACTTCATTTAATTGAATTGAATTTGAACATGAATGCGAAATCTTCTCAGCAAGCGGAGGAGGACAATGAGCAAAGGAAAAGACAGGAGCAGATTATGCTGGAAAAACTTATGGAGCAAGAAGCCATGATGGAGGAAGACCAGAAGGTAAGCACCCCACCTCCCACCCTCCTTTCCCAGCTCTCCAACTACCCTTTTCTACTTATCCCCAACCCCCTACTTTCTAGGACAGGAGTCTACAGAGGATCACAATGACCAGAAGGTAAGACAGCTCCACTTCCTCCCCTTCCGCTTCATCCTAATTTCCTCCAGACTCTTGATCACAGGATTAGTTGAGTGCCGACTGCCTGCTGGGCGCGCTTGTATCTAGTTCTGCACTCTTACGCCCTGCTGAGTCACATCGCATCAACTCAGAATCTGCGATTATACGACTTGAACGGTTCAATTAACTCACACATGCCTGAATGAACCGAGGCATTTTTTGAGCTGAAACAAATTACAAGTGGGAGAATCCTTTGTCGACGATATTTTACTTACTGGCCGTAACACTTTTATGTGCCTGTGTTTTCCTCAGTCTCCATCCCATAAGAGCAAGAGGCAGCAGCAAGAGTTGATCCAGGAGCTCAGAAGGAAACAGGTGAAAGACAGTCGCCACGTCTACGAAGGCAAAGACGGAGCGATCGAGGACATCATTACGGGTAACGTCCCCCGGATCACGTGGCTACAGTCTGTGGCTAAACTCATATTTACACACATCCACACACACACACTTGGTGCCCTGCATGAAGGTCCTTTTCTGCTATAAAAGCAGTCATTAACAGAAGGATTCAAAACTAACACAATGACTTTGGTCAGGTGCTTGAGAACCAAAGGTAATACCTGACTAGTCCAAACATGCACTGACGGCAATCTGTTCAACTCAAATGTGTCTCACCGTGGCTTATCTGCTTTGTCTTTGCTTTGTAACACCATCTGTACATAGGCAAGCTCGGATATGACTATCTCCAGCACTAAAAACTTAGGGATGAAATTCACCCTTTGTTTACTGAGGGGAGATAAAACTTGAGTAAACTTGAGCAACTGAGTGTATTAACTCAGTTCAGTACCTAAGTAAGCTTCAGTGTATTTTTTTAGGCACTCTGTAGCTTTTATTATAGTCTTTGTATCGCTTAAACGAGGCCTCATTGAACCTCTTCAGTTCAGTTTAACGCCAACCTCCCTTTAAGCCATCTCTCTACTGATTGGCTGCTCCTGGCAAACAGACGTTCTGAGAAGAAACAATAAAAGATTCACTTTAAGTATTTAGTTTTATCGTTTATGTTTAATTGAATTTTAGAGAGAAATGTTAGATAGTTTCTACAGAATGTAGCTACTTTTATAAAAATACAAAACATCTAATGGATTGTAACAGTAACAACCCAGGCTTTAAAGATGAAGTGGTGACAGTTGGCTTATTATCAAAGAGCTATAACAGTAAAATGTTACTGATGTTTCCTTAACAGTATAACCTTGATATCATCTGTTTTTGGGAGAATTTGGCTGTAGAATTCGCTCTGTGACCTTCTTTAAAAAAGACTTCGCCTTTGCATCGAGATGCTGTTGTTGGGTATTTGCTTAGTGCTAACCAGTGCTAAACCCCTGTAGGAGTCTGCTTTTCTTACATTGTATTTGTCTTGTTTTGTCTTGGCTGTTGTCCCTGTCGTTTCCAATGCAGTGCTGAAGACCGTGCCCTTTACCGCCCGCACAGCCAAGCGTGGCTCTCGGTTCTTCTGCGAGTCCGCTCTCAATGAGGAGTACCATTACTAAGCTTGTAGAACTCTCTATCTTCTCAAAGGTTGCTGGAAACAAACAGTTCTCTTCTTGGTGTCCTTCTCTCCTTCCTCCTCTGCATGCCTTCCCCCACCCCCCACGATTCTCCTTTAACAGTTATGCTCACCTCTCACACCTCGGACCTGTGCATGTGCACTGTGACAAGCCCTGGAGACACGCCCGAGTGCGGGTGTTGTGTTTCTTGTTTTTTTTGTCTTTTTCAAAACAATTCTCCCTCACCCCACGTGTGTTCATATTTTCTCCCTCACTGACCATCATAAGGTGCTGGGGTAACAGTTTTCTTTCCACAAATGCATGGAGTGTGACACCCACATTGATCATCATTGTTTTATCAAATCCAGCAAACCATAATGTCACAGAGAGAGCAGTTTCCAATCTGGACATTAAGAGTGCTGAGAAGTAAAGAAACACCGTTAAGCTGGCTGCTGCCATCTAGTGGCCAAGACTCAAAAACAATTACTGAGCTAGGAATTACATACTTAAAAAGTTTTTCTCTTCTTAGCCTCTAATTCGGTCACCATGACATTAACATGTCGCACTACATCTTGCAATATACAAGCTAAGGTCATTATCTTCACGGCAGGTATGATGTAGAAGTGTCTGTGGCATTATACCTTGCTTTTTTTGTGTGTGTTTTCAAAGAGTGTTTTCATTCAAAATTCATGTTTGTTCACTATCACATGTCTTTATCACATGTTCATAGTTGTGTGCATGCTGATTGCTTCATCCCTGCTGCTTGCTCATACTGCACCCCCTGCTCTCCCAGTTAGTCCATGTGCCACGCTCGCTCTGCCGCCCGCTCTGGGTCACTTCTCGGTGACTCGGTCAGGCTCGTTGCTATTCTGCATGGTGTGTGCATATAGATCATCTGGTGCATTTCAGGAGTTTGTGTGTGCTACTAACATGCAACCAGGTTGCTTCACTGAAGGTTTTGAGGTGTTTGAATCACTGGTTGTCAGTGTTTTTCCCTGGCTGCATGCATGCTTCAGTGTTTTGTTTTTTTAAGTTTTTTTGGTGGTGATGAATTGTATTGGTTTCAGTTTACAGTTGTGCTGCACAGAAAGGTAGAAATGGGCTCTCTTCCATCTTGCTGGTAGCCACTTTGCAAAGCAGTCTGGGTCTAGTAACAAGGAGAAAGAAAAAGCTTTTATCCTTCTCTCCACTCCCTCCTCCCTCCTCTGCCAGTTGAAACAGTTAACAACCTCTAGCTCTGTCCTCTCTCGTGTCCTTACCCAGCTCTAGCTTTTCTACATCCAGCCTACTGCCACACCGCTTGGCTCTTGCAGCGCTCTTTTAGCAAAGCCAGTGTGAATTGTTTGGCTGACGTGCACCGGTCAGCCTCCTTCTCCATTTTTAACCTTCATTTTGTCTTCTTTTCATCTAGCCCTAAAGAAGAATAATATTACTAAATTTCCCAATGTCTACTCGAGGGTAAGGAACTCCTCCAGTAGCACCCCTGTAGTGGATGTGCCCCAAACCTGGCAAGCATCTCTTTATTACCTCAGTTTCTGTCATACTTCTTTCATTTCAAGTCCACTCATCATTGACCTACTTCTGTTCATCGATGTAGTCATTAATGCTCCTTTGTAGCAGGAAATTTCTGTGTGTAGTGATTAGCACATAACCTTACTCTCCTCACTTGTCGCTTTGGCTTTATTGTAGAGAAAATATACATTTTCATGCATTCACAATATGCATGAGAGATTTCTTAGATTTTTGGCAGAGGTTTTTAAAAACAATTCAGTGGACTGTCTCATGTTTAAAAACCAAAGACAGGTTGTTTGGCTGTTGTTTGTGTAGACATCACACTGCTTTGAAAGACAGGCTGCCAGCACTGTGAACATGTGAGCTCATCAAAACACCCCGATGAAGATGCCTGACACCATCTTTTTTTTCCATGCCCATCCCCAACCCTTCTTTTCTCTCTCAGATTTGAGGAATCAGCCTTACAGGAGAGCGGACGCTGTACGGAGGAGTGTCAGGAGACGCTTTGATGATCAGAACCTGCGGCCGGTCAACAATGGCGACGTAGTCATGTGATGAGGGAATAGTGCATGTGCTAGGGGGAAGGGAGAAAGGTATTGGGGGGGTAGAGAGAGAGAGAAAGAGAGTAAGGAGTGACAAAGAGATCGAAGTAGAGTGAAGGATGATGTGTGAAAGTCAGGTGTTTGTAGCAACATGTGAGATGATTATGTATATATATTACATAAGAATACTCAATATTCCACATCTGTGCTATAGTATTAGCAGCATTTCACTATGAAGGACTGGGACACGTATGGGACTGAATTTAAAGTGTCTGAAAGGTTGATTTAAAAACCTTTGACGAGCCAAGTGCCTGAATTTTATTGTTGTTTTTTTTTTGTGGTTTCACGTCACGTTGCCGTGTTTGCCTAATGACTGTTCTTAATAATCCCACTCTGAGCAATACAACGTGACCTGGCTTTAATTTTTCAGATGTGTATAACTGGACATGCGGTGGCCTTAAGAGCCACGTGAAATGGCGTTACGTGGGGAAAGATGATGTAGAATGTACAGGACGGGTTCTCTTTTTAGCTGTTACAAATATTATTGTTACGGCCCTTTAGTCCGCTCCTCTAACAACATGAACATGCTCAACCTGCACTTTTTAAAAAAATGTTTTTACATCTCATGAGGGTTTCTCAAATTATTAAAGGGCTGTTAATGTGGTATGAACTCTATATTTGTACTAAAGCAACTATAAAGGTAAATAAAGACCAGTTTAATGTGAATTCTGTTTATAGCAGGTATCTCCATACTGATTCTTCTGTCACGTCTTATTACGAGTGATCAGTGAGGGCTGAATTTGTAGCTTCTAATCCATTAAAAAACAACTTATTTTCAAGTTGTGCATATCTGTAGCTGCACAGCTGGTTTTGTGGAAGGAATTGTGCAGAGCAAGAAAACCGAATACCTTTTCTATCGAGGGTAGAAACTGCACGCAAGATGCGAAACTTTACTGGATGATCTCATTGTCAGAACTGGATATAACTAAGCGTCGTGCTTCTGTGAGCGTTTTACAGGCTAACAACATTCCAGGTCACCGAGTCTACTCGCTTTACTGTAATTTTAATGTATAGTATTTAACCACTTAAAAGATTCATTTAAGCTTATGTCGTCATCTAATGTGTGTTTTAAAACTGGGCAAAACAAAAGTATACAAAATAAAAGTTTCCTAAATGTACAGATATTTTGCTACAAACTGTTTTTTTCCTTTTTTTTTTTTTTTTACCTAATTCACATCACCAGATGGTTAATATTGTACATATTGTTAAAACAGAAGTTTTCCTTGCCTTGTGCTATACAACTTGAATGTTATTTTAACTTAGTTTTTCCCCCCATTTTTGTATATTTAATTAAACCAAATTCAGCCAGAAATCTACAGTAGTGTGTTTGATCATCTTTTACTGTTATGCAGAAGGCAGTGGGGTCACGCACTTTACCTGTTAGGGTGTCAGAGGTGCATTTAAAAACAAAGAAAGTCTGGAAAAGTTTCTGATGTGCAGATGTTTATACACGCCAACTTAATGGCTACACTAACAATCAAAAGTAGTTCTGTTCATTGTCTCCACTGAAGCATGTGACGCCATCGGCTCCTTTTCTTTGAACTTCTCTGTCTGTGGCAGCGTAACTTCTCGAACTGGATATTACCAGCATGCTTTTATCTTGGACGTTCACCAGAAATGTATTTTAGGCAGTTTGTGCTTATAACAAAATAACAATTTTTAAATTAGGTGATGAGATTTTCAATATGTTCAAATAAACTATTTACATTAAATATAAAGTTCTTTATTCTGTGTTTTTTTTTGTGTTTTTTTTGTCAACGCTGTGAATATATGTTGGTGTGTGTGGATGTGTTTTTTTTTCTTTTTTTTTTTTTTGCTAAGAGCAGAACCTCGCATTGAAAAGCTAACCAGTGTTTCTCCATTTGTTCTATTTAAGCAATGTCACTTCAACCTTATTTTATGTGTTTAAACTGTAAGTAGTTACAGTCCATACACAGTGTTTGTCTGACTTATTCATATTTAGGACATTGACTGAATATTAACCAGTAGTAAAGCACGCCATAACTGAACCACAATGCAAACTCGGTCCCTTAAAATAAGCAGAAAGATTAAGTGGTTATGACTGCATTTGTGTTAGTAAAGTGTTACCAATAACTAGCAATAGATGTAATTTTCTTAATCCATTCATCAGAAACAGTGTTTCCGCAACACAAGGAGTTAATATTCACCCACTTAATGTTTGCCCAATATCAATATTGGACCACTTGTTTCCCAGAATTAAAAAACACTACAAATCACTGAGACGACATTAGACAGCATAGGTGTTCCTAATAAACCACCAATGGCATCACCCATTAGTCTTCTTTGTTGGCTATTTGTAAATCTGTAACAGCATGGCAACAATCCTATTATCTTGGAAGGTTTGGCAACAAGTTATCGTCTAAGTAAGTCAAAGCAACACCTGCAGACAACTTCCAGTGAAACTGTTTTATTACATTTAACTAAAGTATCGATTTCAGCAAATCCTCCAATTAAAACCTTTCATTCATTCAAACCAGCTGCAGTTAAATTACTTCAAATCAGACGTAACCCCCAGTATTCCTGGACATGTGGACAAGTTTCTTGTAGTTCTACACATTTGCAGTGTGTCATAAAGATATGCTTTTAAGTGAATATAAAAAAATTGTCAATGGAAAACATGTATAACTACAGCCAACTGAAGAAAGGTAAGCTAACAAAAAAACAACTCAGTATTTAACAGCTGATCAGTTTCCTGATATCAAATTAGTCAAAGTCTATGTAAAAGCTCAGTATATGGCATTCCCATAAATACCACAAATCAGTCCATTATGGGCGTATGACCAGCACGGTCAGATGAGCTTGAAGGGGAATGCATGTTTGGAGAGGAGAGAGCAGCATGAATTATCATCAAGGTGCGTCCAGCTGTTCCAGCAAGTTTCTTCTCCTTTTCTCCAGCTCTCCTTCACTCAGCTCACTGCCTGACGTGTCCCAGCCACCCTTAAACGCACCTTTAAAAAAATACAAAGATTCAGTCATAATGAAAATTAGATCTTTTTAAATAACTAGTTAACTGCAAGACCTTTATCTCATGCTAGAAACTGTAAGCTAACATATACGCTCGAGACTTCTTTAAAACACACTAACTTTGACCGTGCCCCCAGCTAATCTCACAATACAGGGGTGATTTTTTATAACAATAATAATAATAATAATAATAATAATAATAATAATAATAACATTCACCTCCTCTTTGGCTGCTTTCCTTTTGGGAGATTTCTGTTTGGACTCCGAGCGAGATTTCCCCCGAGACTTGTCGTTCTCTTTCTCCTTCTCTACCTCCTTTTCTCGCTTCCCATCACGGTCTCTTCCTTTCTTCTCGTTGTCAGAATCTGGAGACGCCTGTTTGTCATAATTACAGTTAGTGCACACACCAGTGTTGCCAGTACATTTGTATTTAAGACATCAAGCGCACACATTTGTTTCTTCCTGCACACTTACAGACTTGTGGCGTCTCTTCTTGCCCTTCTTCTTGTGCTTCTTGGATTTTTTATAGCTTCTCTCTGTTTTCAGGTAGAACATGTCAATGAATACACACAGAGTGGCACTTTTTCCCTTCCTAAATACACAAATCAACTGATCTGAGCTGTAAAAACACTCACCAGATTCTCCACTAGATGACCGTTCTGAGGGGGATTTGGACTGCGACCTCTTTTTCTTCTTGTGGTATTCCTCATCCTCAGACTCAGAGCCCTATGAAAACATTACAGATTAGCAGTGCATGATATGAACAATGCTTTTTGTAAAGTGTGCTTTGCTACATCATTTTTCCAGTAAATCTTTACATAAAATACAGAATGGAATGATGTGTATTCAGTTAAACCCTGTATCTGATTAAAAACGTATAAAAAAAACAACACATTTTTTAAAACACATGTTCAATTTTTTTTTTTCATTTGACCTGTGGTCTAAGTGTATAAAATGTTCATTTTCTTGTGGTGGTACTAACTGATCTAGAGCGGGAGCGCTTCCTGTGGTGCTTTTTGGACTTCTTTGAGTGTTTCTTGGTCCTCGAGTGGTGATGCTGGCACTCATGCTGTTAAATTAAATAAAAAGTAAATACCAGGTTAAACATCATTATAGTCGTTGTCAAGTTTAAAAACTTCACGCCCCTGCTAGCGTCATGACTCACCTCCAAGACATGCATGAAATCTTTGAATATTCTTTTCCTCTCTGACTCCAGAGTCACGTCTTCAAAGGCAGGCTCTTTTAGGAACCTCTCTCTGACCTGAAATGGTAAAATGTCAGTCATCAGGAAACATTAAATACAATCAAGACTGGAAAAAAGGGATGAGGATAAATATACAAAATAAATGGTGTTGCAAAACCACACGAATTTGATCCGCATTGAAAGTACATACTCCCTCCCACGTAGTCTCTGGCTCCAGTGGCGGTGTGGCCTGCTTCAGCATGTTCTTGAAAGCAGCTTCTTTCCTTTTCATCTTCCTGGCCTCCTCCTTCTCTCGCTCCCTCTCTCTGGCTTCAGCTTTCTCAAGCAACTAATTAGGAAAAGGGGTTTCTAAGTGAGTTAATCTTATAATGAAATAAAACAAACAGCCATGGTTCAACGCACACATCTTTCATCCCAAGTGAAGTCTTTCTGATTGGACAGGGCACAGAGCAAAAGGTGGGGTACACCCAGGAAAGGTCACCACATCCACACTTACAGCCAATTCAGACCTGCATACATCCTCAAACAAGCGGGTCAAGGCCTGTGCTTATGTATACTCATTAAAATGTCATTGATTTGGGCCTGTTTATCCTGAAAGGTGTATTATTCCCCTTTTTTCATAATTTTATAATCTGTAATAACACGTTTTTGTTTATTTGGGGGCCGTAGAAACAAGTAGGCTCAGCATTGACATATCTTGTGATGGGGATAGGTGGATTACGTGTGGATACAGAACTCTGATGAGAGCACTTGCAAATAACTGTGGAAAGATCTAACATGAGTTTTAAAATAATTATTAATTCAAATGGATACGATGAATGTCTTTTAACACCTAACAACAGGATAAAACGTAAAGCTCTCTAAGCGAAGGAGAGGTGCTGGTTATTTAAACTGTGACCTGTTTTACATTTATTATGCTGATTTAATAGATTAAACCTAGCTACTGTAGGGTCAGCTACTTAACAGTTCACCCTACTTTAATATCAATATTTGTGTCCATTAATGTTTACAAACAGCTGCCAACTCAAAGCATATGATGCAGAGCTGGAGTCTTACACTGTTGAAGGCTAGCTTTATATTTCCTGCATCCAGCGTGGTAGCTCTCTTATCCGAGCTGATGACTGATCCAAAGTCATCAAAGCTGGTGTTGACTTCAACCAGGAATCCTTTGTCCTGGGAAAGAACACATCAGATAATTATTAGATGTATAATTGGATCAACGCAAGGAAGGTGCACGAGTGCGGACTGTTCCTTAAAAATACCAAATATAAATAACATTTTATGACGTTAGAGTAATACCTTAAGAATGTCTTTGATTATTCTCTTTTCATCATGATAGCGTGCTTTCAAGTCTTCCACATAAAATTTGAAGAGGTCCAGGGGAGTGGAACCTGCGCAACAAACAACATTAAATTTAAAAATGTGTAAATATTGATCCTTGCAGCAAATAAACAAGGTTGAACAGCATCAATGGACCACAACAAGGGTGCAAAACAGTGAAGCCAAATAATTAAAGATTTAGAGACTAGTGTATTATCGGAATAAGTATGAAAAATAAAAAGGAAAAAATATGGAAATAATAAGGAAATTAAAAGAAACTATAACCTCAAAAAGCTAAACTGTGATTCATAAATCGTTTATGTTGTCAGTTGTGAATGTTTTATTTCTGTGTTAATGCTATGATTCAAGTCCGACTGTCACATTCAGCTCATGCAGACATGTGTGCGTGTGGCACGCTGTCCTACCCGGCTGGCCCAGCATGTTGGCAAAGCGGATGTCTGAGCTCAGTGTCGGGTACATCTCCATCCAAGCAGACATGGAGTGAAGTTGGCCGTGATCATGAAGCTCGTCCAGAAATTTCTGAGAAAACAACAAGAAGAGATGAGGATCGGGAAAGTACATGTGGCCTCTTCTTTTGGCTTACATTAAAATTGTTATTAACCTGATTAAATGTGAAAAATTACATGCAGGGCATTTTTTTTTTGTTTCTTTTTGAGACATCAATTCTTTGTTTTTGCTTCTCACCTGGAAGGCCTCTCTATTCTTGCGCTGCCGTCTTCTTTCCCTGAGAAGTGTCTTTTGCTTCTCTTCCTCCTCCTCCTTCTCCAGAGCCCGAATATGCTCCTCAAAACATATAAGGGCATCTTCTTTGTCCATATCTGTAAGCAGATAACGGCACTATCAGTAGGCTGAACATATACAAACACACATTCATGCAGAAGCACAATGACCTGATAAAAAATGTTTTTCTTCTAATTCTACTAAAACCGTTGTATTATCTCATACTTTGCAGCTCCTCATCCTCTGCAAAGGTAGGGTTATCTAGCAGATACTGCTGGGCCTCAGACCAGGTGGTGCGGTATGTGACGTTTGCCATGTTGTCCAAAATGTTCTTCAGAGCTTCCCAGTTCCTTTTTCTCAGCTGCTTGGCTTGCTCCTAAAGTAGAGAATACAACCAGATGGTAATTGCACTAGACCATAAAGCTCCTACTCCCAAATACGACACTGAAAGAGGACTTATACCCAATA